ACGTCTTATAAGATAATTTTCTAGCATCTTATAGAATAATATTCTAAAGTTTTGGAAGATAATTTTCTAGTGTTTCATAGGAAAAAGTAGGATTCTTTCAAGGTTTTAAGGAATAAATGTGTCGAATCAAATTATGACGAATTAAATCACATAAAATTGAATAATATTGATTCGAATCATATCGAATCGAATCACGTTGAATCAAGTAGTATTAAATCACACCGAATTCAATAACATCGACTTATAATACTGTATCGAATTGAATTGCGTTGAATCTCGACAAATTCAATTACATTGAATTGAATCATATTACATCGAATAGACCTAACTGAACCACATCGATTTGAATAGTGTCAAATCCTATCACACCGAATTGTATTGTATTTGAATTGCACCTCATTATATCACATCGAATTGAATCAAGTCAAACTGAATCTCCCAGAATTGAATCGTGATAATTTTTCAATTGCCCTGAAACTTGTCGAATTGAATCACACTGTATCGAACAGCGAATACAATAAATTTATGGTGTCTCCAAAATCTACCCCCAAAATTTCAAGAAAAAAGTTCGAAAATTACAACCGAATTGAATCACACTGTATTGAACAGTGTATACAATAAATTTATGGTGTCTCCAAAATCTACCCCCAAAATTTCAAGAGAAAAGTTTGAAAATTGCAACCGAATTGAATCACACTGTATTGAACAGCGTATACAATAAATTTGTCTCCAGAATCTACCCCCAAAATTTCAAGAGAAAAGTTTGAAAATTGCAATCCGGGAAGACAAACAGACAAACGAACAACTGCAGATCCCAGGCGCCTTACCGCAACAAGGGAGTTCCCTCGAAAAGTTACCAATCCGATCAAGGAATTTACCTCGCGCTGATTAATCGTTCCCGGTAAGGGTCGAAATAGGCGACACGTAAGTGGAATCGGGGCATGCGGTTCACGCGTTTTCTCGTGAAAGAAAGTCTCGTCGAGGTCGGTCGTCGTGCACGAGGCGGTGATCGATACCATCGCACGGCTCTTAAGCGGATCGTGCAGGTCGTATTGACCGGCAATTTTCGCGCGGAGGAAGGTCATCACGAGACAGAGGAACACAGGCAAAAGCGACGGCATTACGGAGACGTATAACGTGCATATGTAGTGTCAGGAGCGCGGCAAATACGACCTTCGTCGCACAGACACAAAGGCAACCGAAGCTATTTCACGTGCGACTAATCTCGAGAGAAGAGTCGAGCAAAGAAGAAGAGCAAGCAAGCAGGCGCTTATCGTCATCGCTAGTCAACCCCTGACTGATCCCTGACCGAGCCAGTATCGATCGATATATCGAGAATGGAACAGCAGTCGCGCGTCACGCTATACGTAAATATATGTCACTCACGTTTACGTGTGATACGTGTCTGTGTGTCACCTTACGATTCGATTTCCACTATCGTGACCGACTAATCGAAACTCTAATAATGTTTACGACGATCGGAAGGTTACAAATTCACGGTTTAATATCGAAGATTCTGGGGTAGGGAGTCATGGGAATTGATGGAGGAACGCAATGAGAGATAGCATCTTGCGACAATCGGTCGACGGGGTTGCGAACTGCACGGTAGCGCCATTAGCGCCTCACAGGAACGAACGAAGTTTTAACGCACCCAACACCTTGTGGAATATGCGAAATCGGGTTTAACAGGTTTGCACTGTTTAAACTACTGTTTTATTCTTCTTTCTTGGGTGCTATTTTGTGTATCTTGATATAAGTGCAATCTTTTCAAATTATTTTTGTGGAGTACTTTTGAGGAGTCCTAAAATTTCAATTTTGGAGGTCAAAAATTTTACATTTGTAAATTTTCTTCTTTACATTTGTAAGATTTCTGATTTGGAATTTCTAAAATTTGTTATTTAGAGTTTGTGTAATTTCTAAAGTGGTATTTCTGAGAGTTTTAGTTAGAATTTCTGAAGATTTTGAAATTTTCAAAATTTAAAATTTGTGAGATTTTTAAGATAGAATTTCTGAAATTAGTACTGTGGAATTTCTGACATTACTAACATAGGATTTCTAAAACTTCCAATTTAGAATTTCTGAAATTTTCAATCTAGAATTTGTAAAATTTCTAATTTAAAATTTGTGAAACTTGCAATTTAGAATTTGTAAAATTTTCAATTTAGAAATTGTTAAATTCGCAATTTGGAATTTGTAAAATTTCTAATTTAAAATTTGTGAAACTTCCAATTTAGAATTTCTAAAATTTCTAATTAAAAATTTCTGAAACTTCCAACTCAAAATTTCTAAAATTTCTAATTTAAAATCTGTAAAATCTCTAATGCAAATTTGCTGAAATTACTAATTTAGAATTTCTAAAATTTCTAATGTAGAATCTCCAAAAATTTCAAATTTAGAATTTCTAAAATTTCTAATATAGAATTCGTAAAATTTCTGATATAGAATTTGTAAAATTTTCAATATAAATTTGTAAAATATCTAGTACAGAATTTGTAAAATTTTCAATATAAATTTGTAAAATAACTAGTACAGAATTTCCAAAATTTCTAAAACATCTAATTCAGAGCTTCGAAAACTTCTACCTTACAATTTCTAGTATTTCTAAAATATCTAAAATTTCTTATTATTTCTTTACAATTTTTACAGTATCACATCCTGTGAAATTATGATCAAATGTTCAATTAAAATTATTAAAATTATTAAGAACCGAAAACTTCAGAGATTCTCAACTATCACGAATTTAAAATTGAAATATTTGATATACATTCCATCTGTATTTCTCCTCTTTCTTGTTTTCTTTATATAATCTAAGATGCAGTTGTTTTGCACCCGTAGCACCCTTTGCATGGTCGTCCCTGGCGTCTCTAGGAGAGCACATGCGGTCTCCAAGTAGTAAAATCGAGGAAATAGTGTACACGGTGTTTACGTGATCGAGCTGCACCACTCGTTGGATCAAACTTAAAATTTACTTAAAAGTTTTGCATAAAATTATTTTGTACAAAAATGTTTTTATTTATCAAAATAAGAACGAGAACATATATGCAAGCGTACAGTTATTATTAACCATTAAATCAAACAGAAACACCATCTCAAATTTTAATCGAATAATAATGAAGAAAAGAACAGATAGAAAGAATTTGACTTATTGTATAACTATAGTAACATAATTCTGAAAGCTTGAATGTATACAATTATGTTTTGTGTCCCTAATAGATGTCTGACTATATTCGTCTGTTTTCACTGTGTTGACCAACCAAATGGTGTTAAATAGTACACTTAGAATTTATCCTCTCCTTTTATTTTTAATTTTGTTAATATTTATTAAATAAACAAAGTTGCATTAGTGTTCAGAAATATTATAGTGCAATTAGACAAAAAATTGTATTGCTTTTAAATGTAACATAACCAGGTACTGTACCAACTTTGAGACTATTAATTGACAAACATTTCATTAACAATTTATAAGAATTACATATTGAATATTATTACTGTTTCAAACATATTTTAATACCTCGTATATGTATTTATTTTTAACTGTATACTGAAAAATTCAATCGTAAGATTTAATATTTGTTAACTGAAATGTTTAATGAAAATATAGGGAATCATATTTATAACATGTCTGCTAAATTAATATAAAATTGTTCCATAAATTATTTATACACAGTTATATTTACAAAACGTATTACATTTATAAAATTTAATGATTATAGTTTTGTTGTTTTTATATGTATATTTTAATCAAAGTATTCGTTTCATTTTATTCCACGATTTTTATAAATCAGTTTTCCAGTTCTTAAATGTAAAACACAAACTCACTACATGCATCTGATTCTTTGAAGTAGAGTTTTAGGTTAAGGTGTCAATTATTGTATAGTTTACCCTAGTTTTTAAATGAAGTAGTACGTATAACTGGTAATACTACATTTTTCTTATCTTTCCAGTTTACTTATATATATTTTTAACACTTCTATGTCTCGTTATAATTTCACGGTGACAATATAATGACAATAATTAAGTTAAGGGTTAAACCGAGCGTTCGAATGCTTAGTGTGGTGAATTGATTTTTGTTGATTTGCATCCAGTCAATTTAAATCATACCGAACTGTGAATTGTGTTGTATCGAACTGCATCGAGTTGAATCGTGACAAGTCGACCCGCTTTCAATTTCAATCTATTTGAATTTCTTCGAATTCAAACTTATCGAGTAAAATTTCTTCAAACTAAATATCTAAAAACTTGTCAAATTTCTTCAAATTGAACATCAACTTGACTCGCATTGAAAATAAACACTAAATTAAATCGCGGATAAAATTGAAATACTTCAGATTGAATCTGGAGTTGAACCACGTCAAATTGAATCGCATGGAATCGAATTGAAACGCACACAATCAAACCGTATCGAACTGCACCTATATCAAATCATTTCGAATCTCGTACAATCAAATCACGCGGAGTCGAATCGAACTGAATCATGATTCAAGTCAAATCCGATCGTCGATTCAAACCTCGTTGAATTGAACCTCCTAAATTCAAATCAAGTGGAATTGAATTTTATCAATTCAGATAACTTTGAATCAAGTAATTCAGACATATTGAGTCAACTAAAATTACATTGAAACGGGTCGAACCTCGATTAAAAACACATCAAATTGAATCCCATCGATTAAAATTATATCGTACTCGTCGATCAAAATCACATCGAATCGAACCCCATCGATTACAATCACATAAAATTCGATCAAATCAGATCACATCGAATCGATTAAAATTACATCGAATCAGGTGTATTCGATCGAGAAGGAGTATCGAATGTATCTTATAGATTAAAAAGAGTAATCGATTGACACGAAACGAATTCGAGCAGCGATCGTTCACGTTGAGCAACGAAAGAACGCTCGTTCACGCTTGAATTTGATCGCAGGTGGGGGTAGAATGAGCATTCGTATTCGCTCGGTCTAAACGCGCCCTAACGGTTCGATACGTAAAATAGCACTTACGGTCGAGGAGTTTCTCCAATAGCGTGGATAGTCGCGATTTGAACGAAAAGAAACACGACGTAGCGATAATGGAGAAGAGGCACTGCGACGTCGAAGAGGGGCGGGTTCTGAGATACCTCCGCGGGCCTTGCTTGTTCAGCTTCGGCAAGAATAAGCACACTGTCAAGCAACGACACTGTAAACTGAACCACCGTACGACGACAAACTTTTTTTTCTTATTTTTTTTTTTATTATTTTTTTCTGTCTATCTGCGTGCGCGCGTGTGTCCCCTTCCGTTCCTTTCTATATGTATCCGTTACAAAACGATTCGAAAACGACACGTCCTTCCTTGTATCTCCACCAGGCGAACAACCACGTTCCCTCCCTTCCTCTTTCTTCTTCCTCTTCTTCTTCTTCCTCTTAACACTCGTCGCGCCTCCACCACCTCTGTTCTTCACCGCAGCGGCAAGGACCCGCCCCGTGTCGCGCTACACGAACGTGTAGTGGATAAAGAGAGCGTAAAACTTGCTCTGCGACAACATTATACGGCCGGTTATCGGTATCTCGCCGCAGTCGTCATTTCTTCCTTTACTCCGGTCTCGCCGCCCGCGTCGCAACGAAAATTGATCGCGTTGCGCGCGACGGTCCCTTCCTGGGGGACAGATCCGACGCGTTTTCTACCCTTTCCTGAACTATCCCGTTCGAGCCCGTATATCGCCGCCGTAGTCTGTCCACGATCCTTCCGTCTCTCCTGCCTTCCTCGCCGTCCTTCGTACCCTTAGCTTTCCTCGCCGAAGGACCGACCCGGTCCTTTCCGCTTCCTTTGTCTGTCGGTTCCTTCTGGCACGTACACGCGCGCGCGCACCCTCTCTCTCTCTTCGTCGTTACCCCTCCCTCTCTTTTTCTCTCGCTGCGTTTCACCTCTCCCCACTGACGATCAAACCCGTGTCTTTCACTCGGCTCGCCACCAACACTGCGTTTTATTCCCGTACGACACGGAAATTCACTCGGTCCAGGCGAGTCCGGGAACGACCCCGGTTCCGGCACGGTTTTTGCTGGCCAGAAATGGCTCGACTCGAGCGATCAGACGAACCCGACGCGGACGTTATTGCACCGCCACGCGCCAATCTCGCGCAGCGGACTCCACGGGAACTAATCTCGAGGCACCCCACTAAAACCCGCACCATTCGCAACCCGCTACGCGACGAACCACCCCCTGGGCTCCGAGTCTAACCTGCGCGAACAGTGTCGCAACTACAAATCCGTGCTCACCCGATGACAATTGCGGCAGTCGTTTCCCTTCGTCGTACGCCTTCGATCGAACCCCGTTCAGGCTCCTCTCCGCTTTTTTTTCTCGCGCACGATCATGCACGCCACTGTATCGGGGAGCCTCCGACAACTCTCGCACGAGTATGGATTAACGTTTTACGTAACCACCGTGCCGAGTCCGGTTTATGAATGATACGGTATCGGGGTTGATGTCGCGGTTAGGATTCGTAAATTCGCGCACACCGTGCCTTCCATGCCACGAATGGATCAATGAAAATGTACTTTTCCACTGACACCACCTCGCCCGCCACCCCCGTGATAGCGAGAAACACGGTACCACACCGCGCCACCCTTACTATCGTCGACTGAAAACATTCGCCTATCGGTTTCGAACGACCAACCGCTTCTGAAAGCTCCACCGTTCAGCTTTCGTTCGGGAACTGTTGGACGGCGATTGTGCTGCGATCTTACTTTATCGCCTGGTTACTAGGGCTGTGCGGGATCCCGAACTTTCCAGATCGGGACACCACGGAAAGACTCGGGAGAGATCGGGACGGATCTAGATTATACCTATGACGCGGGATCTGGAAAACTTTTGGGATCGCGAAATTAGATTCGGAACTTTGCACCGTGATTTCGTATTTGTTCGGTGGAGATCGGACGTGCTCGGTTACCTGTTAACGCGCGGACGGTTCTTCGTGATCTACTGTAGCCTACTGTGATTCTGGATGAGCTTGAAAGTTCGCTAGTAGACCCCTTCAGATCTGCAATTTGTCGCACAGGGGCCCACATGCTTCTACTACTTACTGTCGCCATTATGATGGGGTACAATCACTGATCACTATTTTGAGACCTTGCAAATATTTTGGATGCTATGGAAACAAAACGTGTTCGACACGTATATATCTTCAGAACACTGTATCTATAGATCACTATTCCTAGATCCCCCATATCTGTACCTCTGTATCACTATTCTACACTTAAATCTCCACATCTGTATATCCCTGTATATACTTAAATCTCCATGTTTCTATATCTCAAGCAATCAATATCCCTAAATTGCAATAAATATCTCTCAATATTTTTATGTCCAATGACTTCAATAATCACAGAGTCCATTATCACCAAATTTTAATAGGCATTTCCATATTCCAATATCAGATTGTCAATATATGCCAATATTGTCAGATCCAAATATCACTAAATCAATTTCCAAAACAGAATGCCTAGATCTAAATATCTTTATATCTCCTAAATATCCTCAGATAGAGTCCAGTAAATCCTTGTATGCTAATAAATATACAATATCTTCATATCCTAGATCTGTACTCCCTAGGAATAATACAAGCAGTTGTATTTGTGATTAGACATCTCGCTTTCTTTACTCAGTAAAGTTTCTTCACACAGTAAGTCCTTGTGCAACTATAAAAGAATCATAAAAGGATTTATAAAGAAAAAAATTTTAATTTGTTACTTATTTATTAATTAATGGTGTATAAATTTGTACATAATAATCCTTATTCAATATATAAATATAGGAAATCTCTTGTAAAATTTAATAGTGGAATATTGATAATGCAGCTAAACGTGCACAAATTGCTATTAAACTTCGCCTAATTAACTATGTTTCTTTTTCATTGACTTAAATAACTTTCACTGTTTCGTTTAGGCAGCTTGCGAATGCAGAGGTATAATCCAGTTACTATGAGAATAACTAGCGGAACACCTATACCGATTGAAATGATCATAATTACCAAATAAGAAAATCGTTCGCTTGGCGGTGTACCGTAGCCAACTAAGAATGTCCTGAAAAATATTAATAATAGTAAATTTTTGCTTTGGTAATAACTTTTAAAACAAAATGAAATTACCATGTGGAATAATAAGTTTTTTTATAAAATCCATCTCCTTTCGCTCCTAGCGATATAATAATTCTCTGTGTGAGCATTTTGTCAACTTTGTCTCCATAGTAACAATACAACATAGATTTCACGACAGCATCGGTGTGATTAGTTACTTTCACTGGTGGATATTGTACTGTTTCTGTTGAGCTTGTCACCTCTCGGGCTACAGTTGTGTACGAGACTGGTCTCCATTGTAAATAAGCACCCTCAGTTCGGAAATTATCCATATTTTTGTTTGGTGGTGTCCTAACTTCAACCACCTAAAATCGAAATATAATTATTATTTATCATTCTTACTTTGAACGATAAACGAATAACAGACATTTATATTACCTCGAATATACCTGGAGTATGTTCATCGTCCAAACTTTTTTTAGGATTCACGAACATGGGTATATCAGGATTCCCTTCGCCAACTACTAACAACTCTATAGCAAATCTACTATTTGAGAAAGATTCATTTGTTTGCATATTATCAAGAATAATATCAATCTGAGTGGAGTTCTCCGTGTGCAACATGTGAGGCATAATTTCTGAATGATCGAGCGAACAGAAACCTCTTAACTGAAACAGATAGAAATAAGTTATTTCTAATGCTAGAATATAATTTTATAAATTACACAAATTAAACATTAACAAAATACATTACCGAAAGCTTTACGCTTCCACTTCTACTAATATTCATAGCAGTATCACTGTAATAGTTACCTTCCATGTCTAAGGTAACAAAGTCAGTGTTTTGTATTAAAGTCTTACGCTCCCATTGGAAAAACTTTGGATTTAAAACATTTGTATTTACAACATTAGCAATGTTTATCAATGCTGTATCATTTATGTCATTGAACTCTATAATCTAAAAATGAAATTTGTTTAATTAATTTATAATGTATTGATAGAAAATGTAATTTATATACTGACCTTATTTATAACTACTCCAAAACTATACATAGGTTCCTCTGTGAATGTTACAGAATTTTTTTTGTTCAGAAGGAAATCTTCCCAGCTTATGTTTAGGTAAGCTGTGGACGAAGTAAGTGCTAATAACACGGACGGATTTCCATCAAAGTCCCACAGATAATGTAAAGTGTCATTGGGACCATCAGCTCTTAGATAAACTGTTGTTACGTTTACGGCTTTACATATTGAGCCACAGTCAGGATTCACCCATGATCGTAACTAGTGCCAGGCAAATTCTTTTATATAAAAAAATGTAAATATATTGTTTACATCTCAATGTTTAAATAATACATAAACTATAATTACAGATTCTAAAAATTATTTTATTTTATACACATCAATAACAATATTGCTGTGCAACTCTATTTATCTCTATTGGAAGCATAACAGTTTGATTAAATTTGTTCTTGAACTTCCGCACATTATATCACTGCTAATCCCCCGATTAGGGTTCTCACGTTAATTAATAAATGGGTTATGGGAACTCGTGTTCCTCATTAAGTAACGTGCTCTCAATTACCATGAAATTGTCATTCAATGACCAAAGTCCCGATACAATAATAATTTCTAAATTAACTTTAGACGGAAGATAAAATAATCAACGATGATTCACGTTACCAGCGACCTTTGTTTTTTGTTTAAAAGAACAATGATCCAGATAACTACGAATGAAATTCAACTTTAATTATCGCTATAACGGTACATTATTACTTACGGTTCTCTGCGTACAGTATCCAACATTTAATAGTGCAATAAACAAAATCAGTAATACGAGAACATTATTCATGCTGTCTGACGTGTGTTACAGCCAAACAAAACATTCACCACTACCTCCGTTGCAATTTGTGACGCTACTGACCGCCAATGAAGCTCGATCACTGAAAACAAAATGGATCTAAGCGAGCACTGATTGCAGCGCCGCATTCGATCCCATCTTTAATTAACTGCAGAATTTTCTGGACAATCGATTTAATAAACTGTTGCAGTACAATTACTATGCAATATTGATTCATAAGTTTAATAACCTATGTTAAACGCATATTTCGCTTCTGAAAAATCTGTCGGTAAAAAGGAAATCTGATCAGCGCCATCTAGCGGTTGGCGTTTTTAACCTGCTCCTGGTAGCAGGATCGCAGGAAAGTGAAGAGGTGTTCAGGAGTTGAGGTTTACCGCGCATTTTTGCGCATGCGCAATGAACTGTTACTACTTCAACATGGCGTCCTATGATATACTCGAAATTAATGACAGAAAATTATTAATTACTCTTTTGTTTGGCATAATCTATGCACTTTTATGATTCAAAATTAATTTGCAATTCAGTATCTATTTTTTCATACAATATTTGTTAAAGTTTGAATTGCTAGTAATTAATTATTAAAAGTCCCATGAGATACGTAACACGGTTTCGATGTTGTATTTATTTTTCATTCCTGAACGATGTTTTGCACACTTTCAAGCTTGAATTATACTCTTTAATTCTTCCTGAATAATATATAATAACTTTTGTGTTGATTTGTTGTTTTTTTAATAAATTATTAATATCTCTCTAATTGACTTGGCAAAGTTGAGGCAATGTGTGCTCTAGAAGTATTCAAATATTATATTTTCAAACAAAATCTGAATAAATTTCATACGAAAAAATCACGACTGCATTGAAGTATACTTTTTAAACATAAAAATGCACAAATTATTCGCAAATAATTAATAATAACGTATTTTCATCAGTGGTCTTCCGGAGCGATGCCATTTTGGAAAAGACACGCCTCTAGTCTTGCGCATGCGCGGGAAAGCTCCTCAGTTCCTGATACCTCTTCGCTTTCCTGCGCTCCTATTACCAGAAGCAGCTTCAAATCACCGTCCGCTAGATGACGCTGATCGAATTTTAATTTTACCGACCCACTTTACAGAAATGAAAAATGTACAAAGCACCTTATCGATGTTTTGGTTGAAAGAATCTTTTCGTCATAATATTCTATAAATCAAACGTAGGAAATGAATAATTAACAATACTTCAAAATCAACGTAATTTATTTTGTGTTGTAAATGACTAATTACATTCAACTAAAATCCTAATAAATGTTATTCTAACAAAATCCTAATAAATGTAAAATATAAGAAAATAGGTAAGCAATCATAAAATTGCATAGATTGTAGAGAATTAATAAATGATTTTCCGCCATTGATTCCATTTATTCCATGAGCGGCCATGATGGAGGGGCGGCACCAGTCTCGCTCTATCGCGCATGCGCACAATCGCGCGGGAAACCTCCTCGGTTCTTGACTACCTCTTCGCTTTTCTGCGATCCTGCTACCAGGAGCAGCTACAAAACACCGCCCGCAAGATGGCGCTGATTAAATTTCCACAATTCTTTTTACCTACAGTTTTCAGAAATGAAGTATGCACTATTGGTAACATATCAAGTGATGTTACGCGCAAGTAATTTAAATCAAGGTCAATGTTACCAGCAGACTCATTTCGATTCAGAAATTCTTATGGTTTAACACAGATGACGCCATGTTCAGAAGTCTACTAAAAGGAATTGACCTTATCAACAATAACAGTAACGAGATGTTATTATTAAATAATTTTGATATTTGGAAGTAGTGCATGAAAATACGAAAGTTTAAAGATGTAAACATTATGGATATGCACTTGATGACTCGGCGAATCAAAAGTTTTATATTTTGAAAGATCTACAAATTTTTAAACCTGAAAATTAAAAAATGAACATTCTATAAAAATATGAAAAAGAAACCCTTAAATTAAAAAATTAAGAAATTTGTAATTATGTGCGTTTTCGTATCATATAGTTTATTATAAACAGATACAATCTTGAATACTTACGATGCTATAAATGGATTTTCGATGTTCAGCAGTCAGAAAACTTGCACAATGGTTATCAGTAGCGTATCTAGGGAGGCCTTTCAGGGTTTCAAAATCTCAACAAAGCAAACTTTACTTGTATTTCAATGTTATCATATTTTAATATAAATGAAATTAAGTTATTTCAGTATTCCAATTTTATCAAATTAGCTTTCCATAATAAACTAAATTAGATAATTCAAGTTAAGTTAATTTAAGTTCCAAGTTATTTAATTCATTGTTGTCAAAAACATCAGAAAATAAATGACAAATTCCAAACTATACAAACAGCACTAAAATATACTTTCACATATTTCCCCCACCCCCGTGATACAAGGCCACTGGATCCGCCCCTGCATATATTGCTGCATTTCGCGCCGAGGGAAGGAAACTCGTACCCCATTGGCCGTTAGTTTCCGCCAACGGTGGTGGAGTTACCAATCCTCGACACAGTACATTTTTTCCGCAAAAAATTTGCATAAAAATTCCAAAATCTACAACTAGCAACGAAACGTTTCGCGTAAAAGATGTATCAAATCCCCTTAATATCAGAAATATTTAAATAATTCGATCACAACAATTTATTTATAACTCGAAACGGATCTACATTGGATTGGCAGACATTAATTGGCTCCTTTCCGGGACTCCGTGTACAGCCGAGGAAAGAGAACGTGTAAAAAGAGCATTAACTTGCAGACTACGACCTTGACCGAAGCAGTGTCCGCGCCTGAAGCACATACGTACAAATGTTCGCATGTATGCGTTTCAAGGAACTTTGTTCCTTCGGGTTCTCACTCTCCACTTTTCGGAACAGATTTTTTACTCTCAAAATTTCACTCCAACAAAAATATCAGATTTTTCTTCGAACCGTTCTTTCAATTAGTATCATTTCGAAATAGATTTGTATCGTCTGAAATAAAGCAATCGCGGTCAATGCTCTTGGACGATTTAACGATAGCACGCTGAAGGTCGCCGAATCAAGTCGGCGATCCACGGCGGAATACAAGCATCCTATATACCGGGTAGCTCAATTTAAAACCAGTTTAGACGTTCACGGAACGTGTTCTCTCAAAAAATTCGACGACTAAAACTATCCTACAAACATTGGTTCCTTGCAATATAGAAGAAGCTCTTATAAACGTAAATATGGATAAGTACCTGTACGTGTACATATAAGTACTTCTACGTATAGACATATAGTATTATATAGTAGATATATAGTATAACAATTACATGTATCATACGTGTACAGATTATATGTTTAAGTATAAATATAAGTAGTCAAACACGTATATAAGTAGTCAAATACATATATAAGTACTCATAAATACAAGTATAAGTACAAGTATAAATGAAAGAATAAATATGAGAGTACAAGTACGAATATAAGTTTAAATACAAGTAACATAAGTACTCATATAAGTATAAATATAAGTAACATAAGTACTCATATAAGTGGAAATACGAGTAACATAAGTACTCATATAAGTATAAATACGAGTAACATAAGTACTCATATAAGTATAAATACAAGTAACATAAGTACTCATATAAGTACAAATACTCTATAAATTCGTAGCCTCAGAAGCTTATCTCGATCTAAGAAATGATCGAAGCGATGGATAAAGAAATTTGAGTAAACTTACATGGTAATCGACGAGTTTCTGCGATATCCTGACGGAACTATTTCCGAGGGCACATCACCGATCGGTGCACGATTTCGTGGGTGTTCGGAGGGCGGATTGTTGCGTCTGGTGAAACTGTATCGGTAGGTAACTGGGCTGAAGGAATCGCGAGATCGAATTCGAAGACGAGCGTAATAATTGCAGCCGGCGCGACGGCTGAAGGACCTCCGACTGCACGTATAACTTGCGGTCCGCCGGTTGCCGGCTAGTCGGCCGGACGAAAAACAGACAAAGAGTCTTCTTGCGCCGTGAGTAACGCCGGCTCTCTCGGCCAATCAGAGGAATCGGCACGATCGCGGCCCGTGTTCAATCGGCCGGTCTACCGAGAGGAGCTTGATGACGCTGCTGCCATCCTCTACATCGAAATCAACGATTTTCTTTGCAATATTACGATAAAGTTGCGAGGAGACTCGTTTCTTTCGAAAATAGTAATTTTACTTTAGTGGAACTAGCAAACCGGTAATCGAGGGTTTTAGACTTTATCTCATGATGTTGGTCTTTGCGACGATTAAGAATTTATGTCGGTTTTATGGGCTAGCCTTGATTTATGTACCTTTTTGCTTCGTTTGCGAGTTGTAGGCTGAGGTGATGTGTTACTGGAAAGGGTGTGGACACTTTGGAGGATTTGAAATTTTATGATTTTGGGATTTTGGGAATGTGGGAATTTGGAGATTTGGGAGTTTAAGAATGTAGAGATTGGAGGTTTATAAATTTGGGAGATTCGGGATTTGAAGATTTGGAAATTTGGTAATGCAGGGATTTGGAGATTTGGGAAGTTAAGAATGTAGGGACAGAGGTTTATGAATTTGGAAAAGTTGAGGTTTGAAGATTTGGAAATTTGGGAATACAGGGATTTGGACATTTGGGAGTTTAAGAATGTAGGGATTCAGAGGTTTATGAATTTGGTAAAGTCGTAGTTTGAAGATTTGGAAATTTGGGAATGCAGTTATTTGGAGATTTGGGAAGTTAAGAATGTAGGGATCGGAGGTTTATGAATTTGGGAAAGTCGAGGTTTGAAGATTTGGAAATTTGGGAATACAGGGATTTGGAGTGTGGAGTATCAAAAATTTGACAATTTACCCATTTTAGAATTACAAATTTAGAGATATAAGTGCTTGAAGATTTAGAAACTTAAGTACTTGCAGACTTAGAAATTTAAGTACTTAACTCAGAAATTTTGGAATTAGAAATTTACAGATATAAGTGCTTGAAAATTTAAAAATTTAAGTACTTCACTCAGAAATTTTAGAATTACAAATTTAGAGATATAAGTGCTTGATAATTTAGAAACTTAAGTATTTACAGACTTAGAAATTTAAGTACTTGACTCAGAAATTTCAATCCCCAAAGACTTGAAAATTAGAAAACTTCAAAATTAAAGAATTTAAGAATTTAAAATGCAGAAATAAAGAACCTTGAGAAAATTGAA